TTAATAACTATTGCAGTGAAACAAATGAGAGCACATGGACACATTTACATTTAGGAGCCATGTTTATTGAATTCATTCACCAGAGGTAATTATTGTAAATTGGTAATTAGGGTATATTAAACCTAATCAAACAGCAATGTTAGGAAGACAAAACACAACTTCTCACGCTATTGCCTGTATAACTTTAGCTGTAACACATACAATTTCCAAGAGCACTAAATCTGTATTTATCATATTTTATCACTTAATATTTCTTTGCACTGTCCATGTTGTCATTGTTGCCTTTTAATCTTCAAATTTTAGAGTCAAAGTGTGAACATAGGTGGTCCTGGGACAGGATGAAATGGATAAATGCATGTGCCGAATGCAGTCGACTGCTTTAAGACGTGAGCTATAACATGCAACACAACAAACTGACCCTGCCTTCACGAAGCTCCCACCTACCTTATAGCAACTGCTGCTATTTTACAAATCACATATGGTCAGTATAATTTGCACTTCAAAGTCAAAAGCAAGGAATATCTTTCCCCAAGAGAAGCGGATATGTGGCACAGATAAATAATGCAACGTAAGCCTATATAGTCTCCCTTATGTGCTGTCAGCAAAATCACCGCAGCCTCGTCACCCGGACTGAACCACAAACCCAGGTCAAATGGGCCTGGTTTAATGTGCTGGAGGCGATCCACTCACAACCACATGCACCTGATGATACACGAGTCAATGATATTACAGACGACTAATTGTCAACTGCAATTCCATTCATGCAGGAAAAAATAACTGAACTTGCTTTAAAAAATCTATTGCGACTCCTAAAAATTTCAGACCGTCAATTCACTTTAAGAATAAGGTAGTTTCATAACCAAACCATATTTAATGCTCCAAACAGGACCAACAAGTGTATTCTGCTGCAGCCTGAGAAAACTGTTTTGTCCATTTCCGGTTGAGCCAGAGCACTTGAATCCTGCAGTCATGTTTGGGTTGAGTTCATTTCTACCATTCAATTCTATCCTAAAGTACTGAGACTGGGACTCATGAAGCAAGCTGCTCTCTGGACCGATTTAATTACATATTGTTACATCATGCACGGTTTGTGTTCCTGTTGCCAAGCACACTACTTAAACTCATGATGAAGAGTGAATAAAAGAGGTTTCAAACATCAAAACAGACACTGAGTACAAGAGGTCATCCGATGTATCGGTTTCGCCAATTTTTGCTGGAACTATCGTTATCGGCAAAAATCCAAGCCGATAGTTTTCCGGGTTGCGTCCATTGCTGGAACGGCTGAGAAGGGTCTGCTGAGAGCGGCCTCTAGTGGTTGAAATAACTGACAGCACGTGCTATTTGTTTAGACACGTGATACTGCACGCTGAACAGAGCGGGAAACTTCAGATGTGGATTTAAATGCAGCCGACAGAAAATCCTGCCGCGCCACAGAGCGCCATTCACATAGTTTTCCATTAAATTACATTATATTTGTCCCGATCGCGCTTTCTCTTTGCTCCGTTTTTTAAACACCGAACTTCAAACTCATATATGTTCATTGTTTGTTCATTCTTGAAGTAAACTTGTGTCCATTTGGTGATTAAATAAATTAAAAAAATTAAATAAATATTTTAGACCGCTGCTCGAGTTGAACGCGACGCGTCCGGAGTGTGTGTGATACCGGTGAGTTCTCCTAGACTCAGCCCTGTACTTTTATTTTGATTAGATAACCATCAAGTGTTCAAGAATAGAAGAAGTTAAA